GTATTCTACCTCACTAATAACACTTAAAGAACAATATTCTGAAGAAATATGTCAAGATGACTAAGCTATGACTGAGAGGAGCACTTTTTTTTTTTTCTTCCCATTACTGAGTAAAGCCTTTTGTTCTGATACTCACCTGTCCAGCTGGTGAATCACATTGGTTTATTGATACAGCAGAATGTGAATGTAGATGGAGAATGAAAAACAAGTGTAGAAGATTCTGGTTATCTTCAGCACTGGCACTTGGTGAGGGAATAGGAGCAGTCGTCTGGAGGAGGGACACTAATGTCACCATAATTTCTGGTAGCAGTAAGGTTCAAATTTTCAGCCTGTTTCCATCCTGGACTACTGAAGGTGGCGATGATGCTATCACTGAGGCAGGCTGCACTAATCCTCTTGAGGCTCTAGCAGGTCTCATCTTTCTCCTTGCACAAAAAGGGATGAGTTCCTGCACAACAGGTTAAGAAATCTCAGTTTCCACAGTTAATTAGGCTGTAGTACTTTATGAGCAGAGTACTGTTTAGATAAAAGGAAAAAGTTAGTGTTTGTTAAAAAGAATCTGTCTGAAGACAAAACTCTGCCAGTTAACACAACAGTGAAATAGGCAGATGAAACCTACACAGCTAGAATATTTCAGTGCAGAAAAACCCATTTATTTCAGTAATGTCTTTAAAGCTAGAGATGAGTAGATGACTAGAAATCAGGCTCCAGACCTTTAAGGTAAAAGGTAGGTAGGGATGTAGAACCACACATGAACAGAACTTGGGGGTTTTTTTCAGTGTCTTCTCTCTCTCAGGAAATCACATTTGAGCTTGATGTGAATATCTGTCCCTGTGTAGTACAGACTTTTCACGAGCTTTACCTTTTATTCTGGCAAGGCTAATATATTTTTAAAAAGAATTCTTAGTTTCCTATCAACATTCTCTTCTTCCTCCTTCCCCCAGTGGAATAGAATAATAATCCTCTTTGTGACTCTGAAGTGCTGCCTTAGCTTAGGTTAAACCTTCACTTAAAGATACAGAAGTTTTGTAATAGTAGAAGAGTAATATGATCAGGAAAAAAGTCAATCTGAATGCTGCACTAAACTTTGAAACCATGCCCAAACTTCCGACTTTATTTAAACTGAGGGACGCTTATGTGTAATTACTGCTGTGCCTATTGCTTTAATCCCTGCAAGGTCACAGTTTTGTTTCTAACTCTTCAAGTGATAGCTTGAGTCTGAATTGTCTCTGTTTCCTGAAATAGATTCTGTTTTCCCAGGTGTTAATTTTTTCTGAAGAATGTGAAATCCTGGAAAAGTGGAAAGTGTGTGCAAGCTGAACACAGCTTGTGTAGCACACCTATCATGTCGTTTAAACTCTGAAGCAAGGGGAGTCCTGGCAGCAGTTCAGGTCCTTTAGTTTTAGGGGTTGCTATTTCTGGTACATGCAGTATGCAAAAGTCGGGTTTTGATTCTTCTCCCAAAAGCTGCTTCACTGCTACTTTCAGTACTACAAGAACCAACTAGGAAAGTATTGCTGAACTTCTGTTTTGTGAAAAAGCTAATTAAAGTACCCAGGTATTGGGGGAGTGCTTTAGTTAGGCTCACAAAAGAAGCTGCATGTCGTGGACAGTGTTTTACCCTCAGGAACCTCAGACTGTTTGACTATATTTTTCTTCCAGCGTGCACTCTCTCTCAACTAGACGAAACATGGTTATGAACTGCTACTTTAAAAGTACTTGTTGCCTCTGGTCCAGTAGAAATAGAACAACTGAACTAGGTCTTTCTCTGGTATTAAACCTTTGAGAGCCATGAGTATGGGATATCCAATAGCTATGCCACAATATGTTCAAAATAACCTTTGAAGTTGTGATTTTCTGTTATCAGGTACTGCATGACACTAAGATGATCATTAAAATTGGGACCTTATTGTCCTGTATGCTTTTATGAGTGAAATAAAAATTTAACTCCATTTTTGTGTCAAGTCAGTCAACTTTTTACATGTATCTTGAATACAGGAGGAAGAGGTAAAGGTGACAATAAGAATGTTCTCTTATTTGGGGAAATTAATATGATATGATTAAGCAGGCTGGTATAGCTTACACTGACAGCATGGCTAAACTTGTTTAATAATAAAACCTGGTGTGCCCTGGAGAGTCAATGGTTATGCTAGCTCAGGTACTAAAATTGCAATGTATCACATTGTAGATAGCGTAGTAAGAGGTTCTGCAAGAATGAATGACAGAAGATAACTTTTTTTTTGTTTGTTTCTTCTAAAATGTCTTTGGCATGAACTATTTTTTTTTTTGTCTTATGCTTACTGTGAAACTAAGGACAGCTTAAAAATGATTGCTGGACTTCAGTGTAGCAGCTCAGAACACTAGGCTGTTGTTAGCCTTGTTCCCTGTTAAACTACAGGAAAATGTGTATAAGAATTAATTGTGACTAGATTTTGGCATGTATTGCTTCTGTGCTAGTCTTCTCAGTGGAGAGGGAGTTACAGTTGCTGTCCAGAAGCACAGTGAGTAAAGCATCAAATCTTAATGATTTTACTAGTTTGAATTTAAACAAAAAAGCAGTCTAGTGAATTTGTCACTTCCATTGCATGTCCAATACTTCGTGTGTCAGTATGCTGAATCTAGTTAGATGCTGGTTTTTAATGGAAGCTGCTCATAGCTCGTAAATGAGTGCCAGTTCTGTATTATTAATTCTAGATGTTAAGTGTGAGAAGGTCTTGCCTTAAATACTCCAGAGCAGGTGGTGGTCAGGTCTGTGAGACTTAATAGAGCTGGTCAGAGGAGTCTGGTGTTGGTGAAACTGGAATTACAGATAAATCAATTTTATAATCCCATGCTTAGTGGAGTTAATATTGTATAAGCCTTTTATTTTTACTAATACATTAATGTCAAGAAAATGGCTTAAAAAGGAGGATGTGAAGATTGAGTATCCATCACCTTGTTCTGAAAGATAACTTTAAACCACAAAATGACCAGATCCAAAGTGTGCTACTATACAATAAGATCTCTGTAGTTTGGACAAACCGGGTGCTGTTTTCATGCTTATGCACAGAAATAATAATACAACGTGATTCTTAAATGGGACAAAATGCAGAACTTGTGAACAGTGCAGTTGAATATCTTACCTCCCATGAAACTTTGCTTCCAAAAACTGGATTTAGAGAATTTAACTTGCCACAAGTCAATGAGGTATTAACTCTGAAAGCTTGACTCAGTATTTGAGTCATTGAAATGCATAAATACTGGTTTTGTCTTTTTCCAGAGGCAGTACCACAAGTTCTCTTCAGTAGGTAGTGAGGATTGTGCTTGCTCTTCACCTGAGGGAAGGAGTTCTCAATTTCATTTCAGTCAGGCTATCTGTTCTTCATGTTCATGACTACATAACTGTTAGAGTCTTTGCTCAGAAAGAAAATAGCCTGAAGCTGTAGAGGATAGAAATTAGCAGCGAGCTAATGTTACAGGTCATCCATCTCAAAATGAGAAATCTTCCTTTGCCAAATCAAGTAGAGTTAGCTGAATGTAAAAAGGTAACTGGGGTGGTAGTCTAACTTTTAGTGGGGTACTGACTGGGGATTACTTTAGCGTTGCTTCAGGCAGCTATGAAAAGGAATTCTTTCAGGCTAGCTTCTTAAGTGTGTGGTGTTTTGGGGATGCTGCCACATGAATGGTGTGAACCTGAGAGAGTACCAGTCTGTAAGCAAGAGCAGGGAAGCCTGTTTAGACACATTCGAAAATGAAACTAATGCTGTAGCGGTAAACTGAAAGTGACAACTTCAGTCTTGCAACTTAATCAGGGTACAACCACATAAGTGCCTTATGTAGTAATATCAGCAAAGTGAAGTAAAAGGGAAGTAAATTTCCCAAGTACTCTGTGTGCATCTGTTTCAATCATGGAAGATAGCATTTAGCGTTTTATAAGCATTTCTCAGAACTTAGTGGCTCCTAAAGCAATGATCCGGTCAAGCAGTTGTAGGCAAGTTTCACCAAATTGCTGCACATGTGAGAAATAATCATGTCAGGATGTTAGTGGTGGGATTGCTTAAACTTTTATAGCACAGAAAGGGTACTTAGTCAGCTCTTTAATCACAGTGCTTGGCTAATAATTAAGTTTCTCAACTTCAAATTCTGTTTCGTGATGGAAAATAAGCTCTTCTATCTATCCGGATTTCTTCTTGCTGTTTATTTAAAAATTGCAATACGAATCTGGCTTAGCTGGAGTATTAAATTATAATTTGATATTTACACAACTTTCAGGAGTTAAGCATTCTGGAGATGACATAAAACACAGGAATCTGAATGTGCAAAGATGTAGCAAAAGTAATGTGATTGCAAAAATATGGCAAATAATGGGGCATAAATTACTGTAGCCTGGTATTGTTAAAGAGTACAAAAAATAGTGGGGAAGCTGACAATTTGTGTTCAGCTCCTTGTGCAACTTAGTCTAGTCATTGTTTGATGGTATTCCTAATATTTTTTTGTGTGGAATTGACAAAGCAGTGACTTGAGTGTTATAAACAAAGTCATCTTGTCTTGAAGCATATTGGTGATTAGTGAACTTTGGTTTTAAATGAAAATCATGAGTACTAACAGGAAAGAATTGGGGTTGTTCAGCCCGGAGAAGAGAAGGCTCCGATGAGACTTAATAGCAGCTTCCAGTACCTGAAGGGGGCTACAGGAGAGATGGGGAGGCACTCTGTATCAGGGAGTGGAGTGAGAGGATAAGGGGTAACAGGTATAAGCTGAAAGAGGGTAGATTTAGATTTGACATTAGGAAGAAATTTTTCCCTGTGAGGGTGGTGAGGCAGTGGCCCAGGTTGCCCAGAGAAGCTGTGGATGCCCCATCCCTGGAGGGGTTCAAGGCCAGGCTGGATGAGGCTTTGAACAACCTGGGCTAGTGGGAGGTGTCCCTGCCCATGGCAGGGGGGTGGAACTGGATGATCTTTAAGGTCCTTTCCAACCCAAACCATTCTGTGATTCTATGATGTCTCTTTTGTTTTCAGGTCTTGGCACAGAATGAATATAATTAGAGAAAACAGAGATCTTGCTTGTTTCTACACAACGAAACATTCATGGAGGGGAAAGTAAGTAGTTTAAAGTTTGGTCTTTTTAAAAGTTCTGTGTGACATTTCTCCTCTTCATCATTGGATTTAACTGCATTGTTCCTGTACTGATGGATGAAAATGGAACTAAAGGCTCCTGCTGCTCCATCTCTGAACTGAATGTAACTTCACTAGAATAATTTTGGATTTTAAATATTGCATTTTAATTCTCCTTCACATGTTCCCACGCTTCAGTGTAGCTCTGAAATGGACCACCTGACTAACTCAGCTTCTGAGTCTCTGGAAATCACTATATAAAGCACTGATTTTAAAGTGTAAATGCTGCTTCTTGAACAGGTTCTTGGAGGAATAGTGTCTTATGTACTTTGATATATGAGGGTCAGCAGTCTATACTTAACCTGTTGTGTAATAGATGATCTGTTAAACTACTAACTGAGATTATTTGAAGACTTCTGTTGCTAGAAATACACTTCATCCCCAATGGGGGTCTTGGATCTGAAAATGACTTTTCAGTGTTGCTTCTGTCTGCAAAAGCTAGGGAACTTCTAAAAAACTATCCATTAAACTGTCACAATTGATATCTGTTTACTGTGTTTGAAGTTGGCTGTTATGCATACTTTCTAAAGCTTCATAGGACTTTTTCTGGTGTCCTTACCCATTGTTCCTTCTCACATGCATAGTAGTGCTGTGGAAGTGGGATTTTTCCTTGCTACCTAAACAAGCGCTGCAAATAAAGGAATACCTGCTTAACAGTTACAAACTGACTGTTGAATTAATTTCTCTGATTCAATTTGTTACAGTATTGTGACGAGGTGGGTGAATTGGATTATTTAATGTTACAGCTAGTTACCTGAGATAGCTTTAGACAGATGCTTTAGCATATCACAGGAATGTAGTTTTTTCCCCTATCTGTGTAGTCATCTTAGAATTTATTCTGGTCTGGTAGTACCTTCCACTGCAAGTTCCAAGAGTCTTTGGTCCTGACAGCCAATAACTTAGTAAAAGGTATGCATAAGGAAATATATTTAGTAGTATTTAACTTGTATGTGCAGTTTATGTAGAACAGAGGAGCTGAACATATTGAAAGGGTAAACTGCAAACTGACAACAAAGAAAATTCCATATCCACTTTGTAACACTGGCTTTTATACAGCTTCTTAATATAATTTTTGCTGTTCACCATGGTTTTCTGTGACTTCTGTGGAAACTGACACTGTTCTGTATTCTAGGTATAAACGAGTCTTTTCAGTTGGAACTCATGCCATCACCACATACAATCCCAACACATTAGAAGTTACAAATCAGGTAACTGCAATTTTTGATCAGGGCTATTTTGAGTTGATTTCTGATGTACTGTTACCATCCAGAGTGAATAGTGGCATTCAGTCTTCAGAAACTATCTGGTCTGACAAGGTCAGACAAAACTGGAAGGTATGTCAGCTGCTGCAAAAGCACCCATAACAGAAGACTGGTGTTGCCTTCGCTAACTACAAATAGCCAGTAGTTTTTGTTTTAGGCAGTTTGTCTTTGCTGGCCAATAAGTAGTAGTTTGCTTTTGTGTGTGCAGTTCTGAATGAACTGGGGTAAGTTTGATCACTGTAAGGCTGTGTCCCTGAAGAGAATCGGGACACTTGCTTACTTTGCAGAGTATCAAATAGGAAGCTGAAGCTAAAGCTGTCACGTAGCAAGCTAACTGTCTCATTACAGCAACTCATTCAGTTATTATAGGTACTAGGGGGTTTTGAGTGGAGGAGATGTAGCTCTAAAATTGCTAACTATAACCTAATTCCTTTCTATTGTCTAGTGGCCTTATGGAGATATCTGTAGTATTTCTCCTGTTGGAAAAGGACAAGGAACAGAGTTTAGTCTCACTTTTCGCAAAGGGAGTGGAAAAAAGTCCGAAACTCTTAAATTTTCCACAGAGCACAGAACAGAACTCCTTACAGAGGCACTGGTAAGATTTTTTTTTTGTTGTTGTTCTTCAAGCAGGCAGTAAACACTTAGTTATCATTACTGTTTGTAGTAGGTTACTGTGCTTTTGTTTCTTACATCAAAACTAGGAAAGCAGTTTGTCTTTTGAGCTGTTCTGTTAATGTACTTGACCTAGTGTCAGTTACAGCGACCAGTGCAGGATTCTTAGATAGCAAGTAAAGCTACAAATACTGAATGTATTAAGCTGCATGGAATGGTAAGCCTTCAAGTCCCTTGAAACAGGGTCAGCTTAAATGTAGGCTTTCTGGATAGATTGGCTATCATATTTGCATTCATTCATGGTTAACTTTTTTTAAAAACAGAGATTCAGGACAGACTTCTCAGAGGGAAAAATCACAGGACGGGTAAGTGTCTGGCTTGTCTGGATCATGAAACTAAAACTAAAATAAATAGTTTTCTGCATAACATCCTGAACAGTTGATCTGGGAATATTGTTTCCCAGGAGGGTTTCTGTAGGTCAGATTAAAGACCAGATTGCCATTTAATGAATCTTGGTAATATAGTAATAAGCAAGGCAGTATGCAGAGCTGGACTTTGGTTTTATGTCTTCTGGTCACAGACAATAGTACTTAAAGTAACTTAAAGCATTGCATAAATAAATCTTCAGTGATGAGCATAGTAACACTGCTGGAATATGGAGTTCCCCTTTGTCTTACTATAGTTTACAACAGACTAACTTCTGCTGATTTCAGTAAGTCGGTATTTGTAGTGGAATATGACTGCAGGAGATGAAAAATTTGCACTATAGTGATAAGTTTGCCTCAATTTAGTCTTGATTAGCTGAATAACAGCATCTAGTGCAGTAGCTATTTCCTTGTCTAACTGCAGTGCATGTAATCTGTGAATAGGCCACCTTCTGCAGCAAGAGAAACTTCGTCCCTTTTGGGGTGGATGTTCTGGGTTTACTGTTCTCTTCAAAATGCTTTGTTTAGACTGTCACTTCCTTGTAAGTAGACAGCTACTTTCATTTGATTCTTAGTGTTCTTTCTTGACATAGATAAGAATGTTAAGGGAAATGATATAATGTTTTGAACTTTATACCCACGCTGCTTACTAGATCGGAAAAGAACTATTGCTGTGTAGTGAAGGAGTGTGTATAAGTCTAAAAGTAGCTCTCTCTGCAGAGGTATAACTGCTATAAACATCACTGGAGTGATACGAGGAAACCTGTGATTCTGGAGGTGACTCCTGGAGGTATTGACCAAATTGATCCTGCAACAAATAAAGTCCTGTGCTCCTATGACTACAGAAACATTGAAGGCTTTGTTGATATTGTTGGCTATCAGGGAGGCTTCTGTATCCTATGTGGAGGATTTAGTAGATTGGTGAGTACTAAGAATAAACATCTTGGTACGGTGCTTAGGATGTTTATAGCTGCATATTTAATCCTGAAGCTTCAACATAATTTGAGCATACAAGCATGTGCATCTTTGGATCCCACTGCAGAGCCTAAAGGCCTGTGGACAGCTTTTAAAACCTCTTTTCTACAAAAAATTAGTTAAAATATTTCAGAGTGATGTGTGGGGTTTTTTTCCTTATTGCATATTTAAAAGCTACGAAGCGTAAAATATCCTGCTATTTACATTTGGATAGTGAATATGAAAGCAGTGTGGATGTGGAGTTTCCTGACACTTCTCAAAGTTACAGAATTGATGGGCAGTATTACTAATCTGTGTAACTGATGGAGGAATTCTGTTCAGAGCTAGATCAATTAGTGGTGATGGTTCCTTTTTAGGCCTGTGATCTGATATTTAGCAGCTTTGCTTGGGAAATATTGCAGTGTCATGTTGTTTTCAAAATCTTAAAAGGGTTTCTGTGTACTGTACTGCGAGCAGCTGAAATGGATCATTAGAAATTAATTCATGGTTACTAATGTAAATATAGCTACCTCAGTCACTACTAACAAAATAGGACTCTGTTCCCTAGATCAGGGTTTCCATGTCTTTTGTACTACAGCATGCTTTTCTCTGGCATAAAATATGTGTGTGTGTATATAATATGTGTATATATATAGTAATGTATAATTGGTTCTCTGGAGTTGCCTTAACCCTGCCCAGCAAGACTGGGTAGCAGCCCTTACAGAGCGCAGCTAGGGCTGCCACTGGGGTTCTCTGGTTCCTTGCTCCTGCCAGATGGTCAGAATCTGTGGCCAAGGGTGGACAGGCAGGTCATGCAGACCTTTACTTTAATGGCACACTAATGTGTAGCAAAGTATCCTTTTTGAGTAGCTGCTATAGATTTTTTTTTAAAGGCAAATGTAAACTTAATAGTGGATCTCTTGTGTAATAAGTGTGTGTTCTCTTTATATGGTGCACTTAGCAAAGGCAAGCCCAGCTGCTGGGAAGATTCTCTACTGTTAGGTAATAGTGGAAAATTATTTATGGAACTGATTTCTTGAGCTATGCCATATTTTTCACCTGTTTTTGTTTTCTTGTCAAAACTTGCAGCACCTCTTTGCTTCTGAGCAGAGGGAGGAAATTATCAAAAGTGCAATAGAGCACGCAGGCAACTTCATCGGTATCTCTCTGCGGATAAGGAAGGAATCCCTAGAATTTGAGCAATACTTGAATCTTCGCTTTGGAAAATACAGCAATGATGAATCTGTAACATCTTTAGCAGAGTTTGTTGTTCAAAAAATAACACCTAGACACTTGGTAAGGGTATTGACCTGAACTTACTTGGTTCCTCTTAAGTGCTAAGAATTCTGTTTCCTAACATGCCTTTTTTTTTTTTGAGGAACCTGTGAAAAGACTACTAGCTCTTACAGAAGCGTGCTTAGTTGAGCGGGATCCAGCTACCTATAACATTGCAACTTTGAAACCTTTAGGCGAGGTAAGAGGCAACCTTTCTCAGTACCACTTCTTCAAACAGAAGCTCTAAAAGATGATAATAGTAGGAATTTTACAGTATACAAAAAGATGGCTGTAATTTGTAAAGTAGTTAAGTAACACTGCTTCATAAATGTGATCCTTATCTATTATTTTTAGGTATTTGCAATAGTATGTGACTGTGAAAACCCCCAGCTTTTTACCATTGAATTTATCAAAGGACAAATTCGGAAATACTCCTCAACAGAAAGGTAACTGGTGCTCCTGTAGGTTATAAATTCAAATCCAAGTAGCTATTGTAGTGCTTCTAGTTTCTCATCTTCCATAAACTCTGACCCTTGGAAGTGTTAATTCAAGGTCTTGCTATTCTAGTGGTCTGTCACTTACAAATCAAGAGGTTTTGTAAAGGATCTAAATCTCTCCCATTTACCTTCATCCTAACTTTAGGCAAATCTGTCCAGAAGTTGTCTGATGAACATGTAAGGGTGTTGGACAGTTAGATACAGCCTGTTTCTCGTAAGCGATGTTGTTCTGTGTATGTTGTACTTGGTTTAGCAGTATATCTGAAACAAGGAAGAATGCACCATTTAAGTGACATGAAAATGTGAAGGTTGTAAACCCTTTGAGCTGTCAAGCTGCTTGAGATGCACTTAGTTGATTCTATTTAAAACAACCAACAGAATAGTCCCTGAGTGTGCTTGCAGTTGTAATGCAGTCTAATCCTGCTAAGTGCGGTTTTGCAGAAAGCACAGGGATGAATTGGCTTGCAACATGTGGAAGTCATTACCAGATAATCTAGAGTTGATCCCTTTAGTGAAAGGCTGCAGCTGGCTCTACTGGGTGTAAGACAGCTCTGTTCTTACAGTGAATAAAGGAACACTTGAAGGTTAGTGACTTCTTCCAGAGGTGTAGCTGTTAGCACCAGTGTTAGTAAGATTCCAAGTATTGCTGCTTTTCATTCTGTGCTTGATTTTTCTTTTTTTTTGGCCTATTTTTTTCTTATAACTTAGTTCTTTCGCATCACTTTTCTGATCTAAATTGTGTTTGTATGTCTTTCTCCCAACCCAGAGATTCTCTCCTAGCTAGCTTGTTGGATGGCGTGAGAGCTTCTGGCAATAGAGATGTCTGTGTGAAAATGACCTCCACACACAAGGGCCAGCGTTGGGGATTACTTAGTATGCCTGTAGATGAAGAAGTAGAGAGTCTTCATCTGAGGTTTTTGGCTGCACCTCCAAGTAAGCTAATGCTTATGACATGGTTTTACAGTGCTCTTTTAAGCATCCAAATATCTAGTCAGGTACAGTGCACTTACCTTCCGTTATGTCTTCTTCCAGATGGTAATTTTGCAGATGCTGTGTTCAGGTTCAACGCTAACATCTCCTACAGTGGGGTACTACATGCAGTTACACAAGATGTAAGAATAAATCCTTTGCCCATCCTCTTAAGATGTTGTTAATGCAAAAAGGTATTAATAATTGTTATTTCTTAACCAGGGTCTGTTCTCAGAAAACAAGGAGAAACTCATTAATAATGCCATAACAGCATTGCTCTCACAAGAGGGAGACATTGCAGCATCTAATGCAGAGCTAGAAAGCCAATTCCAAGCAGTAAGGCGACTAGTGGCTTCAAAAGCGGGTTTCCTTGCCTTTACTCAGCTTCCAAAGTAAGTGAGAAGTCTCTTCAAGCTTGGAAGTAGTAGGTGAAAACAACTTTTAAGCTTTTAATGATGTCTTGTCTTTGAGAATTGGAGTTAAGCCTGACTTCTGAAAGAAGACTGGAAGACACTACACACAATTGCTTCCAGCAGTAGGAGGCTGTCATCAGGCTTTAACGTAAATTGAAAATCCAGAATGATCATGAGTATATAAAGCTAATTCTTCTTTTCTTAAATACTGTCTTGAGTCAAATACAGTTTAATGTTCTTCCTAGTGGAAAAACTTCTAAAATGCACCTTCATATGTCCTTGAAGTAGGCAGTTCTTAATTCTTAAAGTATGTTGATGCCATTGCTATCTTCAGTTCAACACAAGATAAAACTTCATGTTAGGAAGTTGAGTCTTACTCCTACAGTAAGTACAGGCTGCTTGGAGTTTGTCTTAATTGTATAGTGTAAGGAAGCAGGAAAACTGCCTGATGTTCTCCCGAAAATGAAAAATTCTTTGTAATGTTTCTGACTATGGCGCAACTGAATGATGTGAAGAGTAATGTACACACTTGGTCCGAGACCTTTCTGAAGTTGTATTTGTTGGTGAATAGTGTCTTGTACTATCACTATCCTATAACTACAGAAATACGTCTTTGTTTTGGTGAATGTGCTCTAGGCATATTGTTAAGTTTTCCTAGCAAAGGATCTCAAATTTGTGTAAACGTCAAGGTACTGGCTTGCTAAATGCAATGGGAGCAGGCCACTTTTGGTCCCCGATTGGACTCTTATCTTAAAACCAAGATTTCTGTTTCCTCTCTAATCTTGGTGGTTTTGCTTTCCTTTCAAAAGATTTCGAGAACGATTAGGAGTGAAGGTTGTGAAAGCCCTCAAAAGGAACAATGATGGAGTAACCCATGCCTCTATTGACATGCTTTGTGCTCTTATGTGTGTAAGTATTAAATTGCAGATTTTTTTCACTTTGGAATGTGTGAACTTCACTCTGAAAGAGTAGAAATAGGGGCTGCTCTTCAGCTTGCAGTGTGCTCAAGCATGAAATGACTCGTGGTACAGTGCCTTCCTG